AATTTCAAATCCGGTCATAAAAATATAGGTCTTTTCCAAAACCTTTTAAATATTTTTTTGCTCAGGTAATATTTTAAGCTTTAAAAATTTTTAGAAAAAATAAAAATTGAGGTAAAATTTTAAAGTGTATACAAAATTTGTACTGGTAAAATTATTTTATATTTAATTGTATTTTAGATATTATTTTCTAATGCCCTGTTCAAATTTTTTCTTTACTGTGTATTCATGTCAATATTGAATAATTATCCTTTCATTAATTATATTATCAACTTAACACTTAACTTACTTTCTATATCTTTAGTTAACTTACCCTATAAGAAAAAAAAAGCTGTTCACTTAATAATGAAGTGCTTTCAGTACCATATAAAACGTTGAAGGCGAAAGTTGTGCTGGTTGTTTTTAGGCTTTTCTGTATGTATTTTAAGAATTTTAAAATAATTATGAATGAAAATATTAATATATTTAATTGATTTTTGAAATATATTTTTGGAATTTTACCTGCTTTATAATAAGTGTGAATTCATTTTAACACTTCTCAAAAAATAGCCATTTCGATTTAAAGTACCCATATAAAATAAGGTCGTGCTTTCAAGTTTCAAGTTCTTAGCATTGAGACTTGTTAGATATAAAGACATTACTACTACAATATTTCACAGAACGAACAGAATTGTTCTATCGTATGTAAGAAAAGTAAAAAAAATTTTTGTTTTAATTATAAAATTATTTTGTTATATGCGTATAAAAATGCACATAGGTGCATGTATTTTAAATGAATGACTTATATATTAGTTTGAGATTATTATAAACGAAATAAGTATGTCAATATTGACATGAGTATTTGGTTTATTCCAATCTCAGCATGTTCGTTAACTTTGAGAATTCATTTAATACATGTCGTTAGGAGTTTGTGATTTGCACTACTGAGTCTAAACTGGCAATGTTCCATAAATCTGTACCTTAAGTATAAATGATTTTTAGATACACATTTATGTTGTATCTAAAAAATTAATCGTTTTTAAATTGGTTTAGCATTATTTAGTCTAACCCTATTTTTTCGCAAGTACATATTTAAATCTTAACAATTTCCTTCAAACAAGGTGTATACGACAAGATGATTTGGAGGGAATACGTTATATACTTTTATAAAATTTTTCCTACTTCTCAATTTCTTTATTATATTTAAAAATACTTATAAAGATCCTCAATAAATCTTTTTTTTTCTCAGAAAAGAAAAAAATCAGCTTTGATAAAGTGCGTATGTAGCGCACGAAAGATATTAGCAAAAAATAAAAAAAGTATTTTATTTCGAATAAAAGGAAGTTTTCTTTTCAAAAAAAAAAAAAAAAGAATTATATTACGGAAAAATTATCAACCATTGAAAAATTTTTTGAATCCTCAATAAAGTAAATTAGAACAAAATTTGCTAATTTTGGGAATTTTTATATTTTCTGGGAAATGCGAAAACTTACGAAATTATTTACATAAATAAATGGTGTATTTTGCGAAAAAAAGTTGTAGTTGCCTATTAAAAACTAGTAAGTGAGCACAAGTAAATGCTAAAACTTCTTTTCCTTCTTTGGAAACTTTTTATAGTATTTACATAGTTATCGCAACAGTTATATTTACTATTAATTATTTTTATATATCTAATAATACTATTAATATTTTATATATCTAAGTATATCTACCCAAGAAGTAGTTCGACCCTCCGTTTACATCACACTTATGCAATCACTCACCATTATTTGTATACAAAAAATTCTCTTAGCTAAAAGAATTAAGTAGCACACCTTTTTATTTTCATTTTTATGGACATAAGAATTTTTGGGAGAGAGAAAGAGTTTGAAATAGATGTCTACCTGTTTTTTATAATTTATTTTTAAAAGCGGGAGTTTATTATTTTTTCGTATATAAAGTATAGGGAAAAATATTAAGAATTTTAAAAGCGGGAGTTTCATTTCTGTAAATCATTCTACCACAAGGTGGCAGAAATGGTGTATCCATATTACATTTATTGTAATAAATATTTTAATTTTTATTTCAATTTTGTCTTTTAAAATTTAAAACAAATATTTATGAATATACACACATACATTTTTTCCTTATAAATTGCTTTATTTCTACACCTCGTCGACATTGCGGCTTGGCATGAAATCAGCTCGAAACTCAAGCTGCGTTATTACTATGTCAAGTAAGCCATTTGAGTGAAACCGGCTTCAATTCAAGTTTATATATATATAATAATTAGCTTAAAGTAGCCATATAAACGGGGTATATTCATATTACTACATATTGTTGTGTATCTACCTTGCATAGGTATAACAAAATATGAAATTTTAAATTTATAACTATTGTTTTCAAACATTCCAATGTTCTTGTCTAACTTATTTGAAATGAAAAATAAAATATGAAAAATAAATTTTGTTGTTATCAAAATAAAAATAACGAAATTTTTACCTAATTTAATTTAATTTTATTTCAGTTCGATGTTTTTGATACACTCGTTTGTTTAAAATATTTTGTTTCATTCTTGCGTACACAACTCTTATTACCATCTATTTCTAAATAAAAATGGAATATTTTAACACATTATGAGCGGCCGGCCTAGCATGGGCAACAATGTTAACGGGCGAATATACAATGTATATATTCGGATACATAAAAAGTTTAAAGGCCCTATTTCTCAAAAAATAACAAGTTTTTCAAAAAAAAATATATGAATAAAGAAAAAGTCTAGAATAAGTTTCTACATCCATATAGCCTATAATACGATTAGTTCTCAATTTTAGTAGGTCGCAATTTTGTTGTCAAATGTACATATCAAAAATATTTAGATAATGTTATATACACAGAACAACAACTAAAAATATAGGAATAAAAAAACACATAATGAATTATGTATTAATTTTAAACGCTTTTGTCGTTATGGGTAAAAACGAAATGCAAGGCTGAAAGAAATTATTATAAGACCTTTGTGCATAACAAAATAAACTAAATTATAAAATAAATATTTTATAAATCAGTCCCATCAAACAAATTGAAACATTGTAACAAATTGGTCTAGGAACGCGCTGCACTGCCATAGGAGTAGTAAAGTATCATAATAAACGGGTACTAATACCTGTACCGCTTTTGAGCGACAATGCGCGCAGCAGGTACTTGTACTAACGAAAACTAACGAAATGGAACGAGTCGAACTACTTTTTAAATAGATATACTTTGATCAATATCAACATTTTCTTGTTTTTTCGTTTTGCCTTAGTCTTATTTTTATAACCGCACATATGTTCAAAAGGTATAATAAATTTGCTTCACCGTTTTTAACGTTAAGAAATTGAGTACTGAAATTTTGCAATAATAAAAATGGTGAAATGGCAAGTTTATTCGTTAAAAGTTGTTGAAATTTCATAAACACTTGTGATAGTTGACATACAGCTAGGACTGTCGTTTGATTTTTTGAATGAGGAACAGAAATATTCAAAAAAGGGATGCATTTTTCAAAAAGGGGAGCCAATTCCTACATTTCATAAAAAAAAAATTATTGTGGTACGAATAGAAAAAAAGTGTCGGAAAAACAAAACAAAAACTTTTGACGAAAATTATAAACAAATTCGAATTAAAAAATGTTACAATAAAAACTTAAACTTAAAATAATAAACTTGGTTCCCAACTGATCGCATCAATATTTTTAAATAATTCTTTTGAATTTAAACGTGGGGGGGGGGGGGGGGGGGATTCAGTGAGCATGTGTTTTGTTGTTTATGTATTTTTGCCTTGATTCTATTGCTTTTTTATTTTTCGTCTGAAGAAATAACTGCGGAAACTTTCTATTGAGATTTAAAAGAGAATATCTATATCAGCTTTTGATGTAAAATATAGTTTTTTTTACATTGCTATCTATACTATATGTTATAAACAAATATAAGTAACGTTATTGTAAAAAATTAATTTCTCGTCAAAAATTATGATATTACGAGTAATATTGATTTATTGATAAGTAATATTTTTTATTCTATTATAATATGTAGGTAAGTGTAGTAGTTTTTCTAAAAAGTTTATTGGTTGCTGAAAATATTTTAAAAGCAATTCAATATTTCTACTTTAGTTAAGATATTTAAGTAGAGAAATTTTACTTCAAAAAGCAATAGTTAATTTTTATTTCTAGTTTGAATATAACTTTAGATTAGTATTATATTTTACGTTTTCGGTCTATTTATAAATAAGTTTCTGTGTGGTATAAATCCCTCTTTGGTACGAATTCGCAACTAGTGTTTTTAAGCAGCTTTCCAAAAAGTTTTTGAAAAAAAGTGATGATTTGTTTCACTACGTCCGTCAGTCTGTCCGTCTCTGTCTTTAAAATCGAGCATTATTTTCATATACACCTACGAGTAATTTTTTTTTGCTTACTTTCAGACTGCATAATTATTGAAATAGTTTCATATATGAATGAAGGTAATTTTAAAAATGTAGTACATAGCTAGATTGTCATTTACAACCGTATTTTTATTTGTTGAAGGGAAGAGTACTACATTAAAAACCATTGGTTTGACCAGACTTTATTTTTTAATTTTTCTTACAATATCTTTCTCAACTTGAATGGCATTGTTATTAATTTATCTAATCAATTGTTTTGAGATAACACAATTATTGCAGATTTCTTTGTTTTAATTAATTAACTTAAAGTAAAGTGGTGGGTATACGTATCTAATATCATTAAACATTATAGGCTTCTTCAAAATTAAATGTATGAATCATAATTTTGATGTTATGAAATTAATTTTAAAATGAAATCGTTTGAAAATTTGCACTAATTATACGGTAAAGCTTATGTGAACCATAGAGAAATCTAGCGAAAGTTTATTAAGTAAATTTATAGAACAAAACAAAAAGGGAATTAAAATATTTTTTTTTTGCGAATTTACATTTAGATAGTAGTTGTATGACATTTTATCATATAAATAATATTTTACTAATTTTATTTATTTACATTTTTTTTACAGAAAGACATTGAGGTATAGGGTGTGCTATAATATTTTGGAATCAATTCATATACAAAAAAGTTATAAAACGGGAAGCAAACTCATAAGAAGAACGAAAAACAAGAAATAAAGTTGCACAGAAGCGGTGGTAGTGCGGAGGATTATCCACTCCTCTGAAAATATTGCTGGAAATATATTGAAACTTCTTAACGATAACAAATTTAAATAATCATGGAGGATGACCAACAATTTTGCCTCAGATGGAATAACCATCAAAACACATTAATTAGTAATTTTGATAAACTTTTGGAAAATGGTACATTAGTAGATTGTACATTAGCTGCTGAAGGACAATTTTTAAAGGCGCATAAAGTTGTTTTGTCAGCATGCAGTCCTTATTTTGCGGTGAGTATTCAATTTTTAAAAAATTTTTGGTTAGGTAGAACATATTTTTTTAGTAAAACATTTTTGAGGAATATGCGTAAACCCAGGGTCGTAATAAACAATAAGTTTCCAACATTGGGGCCTTATTCTGAGTATTGAATCAATAAGGTGATAATTATTGCAAAAAGTTTGATAGATTATTATTGTAAACACAAACCAATTCATGTTTGGTTTGTGTTTACAATAATGTTCATGTTTCAACAAATGTTTTGTGGCTATAATAAAATTTTTGGAACTTTTACGATGAGTATCACTATCACTTTTTCTATACTAAGAATAAGCCCCATTATTTTTTATCAACTGTTTCTTGATGGCATATCAAACAAAAAAAAGTGAAGGTTTTTTAGAACATGTTTTGATAGTTTGTTACTTTGCATAAAAATTTGAAATCTTCCACAATTTCAAAATTTAAAAAATATTTAGGAATTTTGATATTTTTTGAAAGGGAGAGGAAGATTTTAGTAAAAAGATTGTGAAAAAAGTACAAATAATATGAAGAACAATAAAAATTATCAGATTGGAGGAGTTTAATTGATATTTGCCATTATTTTTTTTTAACAGAATCTTTTAAAAGAACAATACGATAAACATCCCATATTTATACTAAAAGATGTTAAATATCAAGAATTACGTGCCATGATGGATTATATGTATCGTGGTGAAGTGAATATATCACAAGATCAATTGGCTGCCCTATTAAAAGCAGCAGAATCATTACAGATCAAAGGTTTGTCCGATAGACCACAAAGATCTACGGATCAGCATCCAAATATTAATGTACCTGGTAGAATGCAACATCCACACGGTGGTGGTTATACATTAGAGCAAACAAAAAGGCCCCGCTTAGGACCTGTTATTGATACGCCTGATATGCGAGAAGGTTCATCTAGTCCAACATCAAGAAAGAGAAAGAAACTAAGGCGTCGAAGTATAGAAAATGTTATGGGTAAGTAAAAAAAAAATTCTTTTCCTGTTATTTTTTTACAAACTCCTAAAATGATGACAGTTACAGTTCTGCTACTGAAACTTTGTTTGAAGACAAACAAATACCAAAAAATCACTGATAAAGATTAAAAAAAGTGTATATGTATATACAATTCAGAATAAGTCTATTTTAAACATTTTTTATTCATAAAATTTATGACGATTTTTATAGTAAAAATATCATTAGCTAAACGTTGGATTTCTTTTCATTTAGATAATCATGAACACTCAAATTCCTCTGCACACTCTACTCAACCAATTAACACATCGACACCATCAATTACCTCAGGCACAGCTGCTATAGTCGCGACATCACAACAGCAGCAACAGCAATCGCAGCAATCATTACAACAATCCTCTGTATCACAGCAACAACAACAGCAAGGAAATATTGTTGGTACAAAAAAGACTGAAAACGTTTCAAATATTAAACAAACAGCAGGATCTTCTGATGACGTTTTACTGGCTGAACAGGATAATCAAATGGAACAAGAAAAACAAATCAAAAAAGATCAAAATAAACAGCAACGTAAATCTGGACATGATAAAGATGAATTATTAATTGAACCAAAAAATGAATATGAAGAAGTTAATGAACCAATTGAAGATCTAACTGAAGATCCAGAAGAGTTAATGGATGAAGAAGATTTAGATAATCAAGCTGGTCCAAGTCATCATGGTGGCGAAGGCTCTAGTCAAGGTAAACGAAACTGTTTTAGATTTGAGTTGCAAAAACCATGCCAAATTAAATTGCTACTTCAATATTTACTTTTGTCTCAGTAATTTTTATATGATGACAATTCAGTTCTGCTACTGAATGCTAGTTGTGGAAATTAAACACCAAAACTTCTGAAAACTAATTTCAATAAAAAAAAAAACAAAACGGAAAATAGAATAAACAAATAATTTTTTTCCTATTATCATTCCAGGATTTCCACAATGGCCAGCCGACAGATCTCAAGACGAATTCATCATGACTGCACAAGACCAAGGACAACAACGGGACCCACAAGGTAGGCAAATTTATTTCAATTATCAAAAAAACTATAAAATAGTAAAAATACAAAACAAAAGTATAATTTTAATTACAAAATTTATTTTGATTTGAGCACGACATGTAAACAGAATTATTTTATAATAATTTATGATATTCAAAATTGATCATAAATATTATGATTTCTTGAAAATTTATTGGGATTTTCATTGCAAAGAAAAGAAATAAATATTTTTTTTTTTCAGAGGGAAATCTTAGTTAAAAATAATTATAGAGGTTTTACGTTTATTTATTACATATTTTTTGTTTATTTATTGAAACAAAAAAAAATTAAGAAAAACAAGTAGAATAATATGAATTTAGTTTTTTAAAGTGTTGTATAATTAAAAATACTAGAATCTTCCTTGGTTTTGTTTTTTTTGTTTTTTTATGTAGAAATCGTTATAGAAGTGCTTTTTTTTCGTTTTCCCTTGGATTTCAAATTTTATAAATAAAAACTTAAAATAAATTTTATGAGTCGTGCTCAATATCAATATAATATAAATGATAACCAAGTGGTTTTCTTTGGCTAAATTAGAACGATAAAATTTATTCTTAAATTTTCAAATGGTCAAAGCATTCATATATCTGCATATATATATACAAACAATTATTATGAAAAAAATCAGTTCACAATGCTAAAAAATATATATATTTGAAAAGAGAATAGAAAATTATAAATTTGTCATTTATAAATTTTAATTAAGTATGTATAATTACTTATTTAAAGAGGCAGGTAAGTACGAATTATGAAAATATTAGTGAACTAAGTTATATCAGAATTTTTCCAGCATTTATCTTTCTAGTTTAGTCAAATGAATGAGCTTTTTATTAGGCAGTATACTAATTAAAAAATGTAAAATATAAGATTTAAAGAAAATAATTATTGCAAATTACAAAATTATTTTAATGAAAAAGAAAAATAAGAATTTACACTACTTCAATTACAAAAAAAAAAACAGATTTAATAATAGTAGTGAATTGAAAAAATAAAGTATTTTAAAAGAGAATAATTTGAAAGTAAAAAATTAATTTGGTAATTTTTTTTTTAAATTTGGTGTTTGTAGCATTTTGTTTGGATACATTTAATTTTTCAACAAACTTTTTTTTTTCTCTTTTTATGTTTCAATTTATATATATTATTATTTATTATATATATATATACTATATGTATACACGTACATATGCTATATATCCATGTATATATATATATATGTATATATACATATATATGTATATACATATGCTATTTATATATAAATATATGTGTTATATATACATATATAATATAATGGTGTATATAAATGTATACTGATAAATATGGAAAATACTAATAAACTTTAACCAAGGCTTTCAAAAAATATTAAAAAAAAATTCTTTTTTTATTCCTTTTTTTTTTATTTTAAAAATTGTAAAATTAAGTTAATTTTAGGAATTAATAATAAATTTTCGCAAATATAAAATTATATACTTAAACTAAACAAATAAATCACAATTTAATCACAAATACGGGTATCAATAATATTTGCATTAATTTTTTTTTTTTTAAAATTCACGTTGGTAACACATTATATATTTCTTCATTTATATTAAAATAAAAGCAAAAGAATTTTTTTTTAAGTTTTTTTAAATTGAATAGAAATTGAAAAATCTTCTAATATTATTAATGATAAACAAATTTTTGAAATATGGTATAGAAAGATGTTATTATTTGCTAACTTTAGTTTATATATATATATATACATATATATATATTTTTTTTTATATATTTTTTGCTTATTACTATTTGATGTTTTTTTTCTTTATTATTTTTTCATAACTCACAAATTTTAGTTTTTCTTAATTATTAGTGTTTTTTTTTTTATTCGATACATGTAATAAAGAAGTGCTTTTTTAATATAATTTTTGGTTTAAATAGTTCAAAAAGCAGCCAAAGTGTTATCTCTAACTTTAATCTTTCAATGTTTACTTAAAAATCTTTAACTGCAAAAAACAAAACAAAGTGATATACCTACATAAACTTACAAATACTTAACTGTTAAATTTAAAAAAGAAATTTAGAGACTGTTTTCGAAATACAAAACTCTCAAATTATTAACAAAAATGTCAAAACTTTTTAAAAATTTTAAAACAAAAAAAAAACTGAATTTTTAAAACAGTCGCGAAATTGCAATGTTTAAAAAGTTTGTATTATTTTGAAGTCAATGTTCTCAAAGAAGCACTCAGTTCAATATTCCTTTACAAAACACAATCAATGTTAATAAATTATAATATTGTTAAACGCATAAGAAATTTCTTGCTCTGAAACTTGTTGCATGCATTTTTTTTCTTTTTAATTTTCACTTAATTAATTTGTATATTTTATTTGAATATGATTCGTTTTTTTTCGGATTTCCCCAGTAATTTTTTTTTTTTTTGTTTACACTATATATATACATATAGTGTATTTAAGTATATGTACATATTAAAGTTTCTCATTTTGTAGAGATTGCCGATAATTGTTTTATTAAACACTAAAGACAAAATAGTTACCTATTCAAAAAAACTGTATTGCTTACATAATTTGGTTGACGGGACTATTGCATTTAATTTATTTAATTTCTAAATATAATTTAGTATTATTTTTCATAAAACTTATAAAAAAAATTATTTTTTTAAAAAGGATTAAAAAAACAGGCGGAAAACTCAGTTTAATATCAAAAATTATTTTATATAATATTTTTTTGTTTTGTAATTTTGTTATAATTTATATATTATTTTTGTTTTGTAACTTATTTAATTCAATTAATTTTTTTGTATAATATTTGAGATCATATTTTATAGTTGTATTAATCAAAAATCTATATACATTATATACATCATATCTATATTTATATAAAATTATCTAAATACGTTAAAATATAAATAGATCCCTTTTGATAATATGCACTGAAAACTTTCATATTAAAGAATTTCAACAATAGTGCATCGTGTTGCTACTGTTTTGGTATTTCTTTTATCGTATTCTGCTTCGGTAATTTTTTTTTCTTTCGGTTCTATTTTTGGAGAATGTCAATTAGATTCCATTACTACACTGATTCGAGCGGTTTCTTACTCGTTTAAGTTTTTTTTTAATTTGTCAACTTTTTTTTTCTGTTTTGATTTCCTAACAGAAATTAAAAAGTTAACAAATTAAAAAAAATTTTTTTAAAGTAATAAAAAGTATTTATCGTGAATTATTAAGTGATTCAATGTTTAAAAGAAAAGTGTAAGAAGTAAAAGTGTTTAATAAGACTTAAAAATTTATATACATTTTTTTAAAATATTTACAAAAACACTGCCGTTTTAATTAAATTTATTGAAAAGTTTACTTGAACTGTCCAACAAAGCATTTTATAACGGTGAATTAAATTTCAACAGGTAAAAGGTATAAAGGTACTAAATTGTAGTTGCAATTAATTTAAATTGCAGCGAGGTAATTATGTTTAGAAACGACAGAACAACATACTTTTCAAAAATTAATTAATTTCATCGTATATCAAGAACAAAATCCAGCAAAATTACGTAAGTATTATCCTTGCTCAACGGTATCGGTTGACAAGGAAAATTTTATCCTTTTAAGATATAATTTCAAATTATCAAAATATTTTTTAATTCATTCCTTTTCCCATTTCATTTTTAAAATTTTTCGGAGTTTTCCATAAAACATACTTTTACTTTTTAATAATTTAAATAAACCATTTTGATTTTAATCACTTCTTGCGTATTTCCTTTTCCTCTTTTTTTGGTCTTTTCTTTTGAACATCTTTTTTTTCCCTTTTTTGTTTTATCCCAGATTTTTTTTTTGTGAAATCGGATATTTTTTCAGTATTTGTTCTCCAATGTTATTTTGTAAACATTTTCCATTTCCGAAACGATTCAGGAAAATGTTAAATATTCGGAAATGTTCAAAATATTGGTGAAAGTGACATGATGACATTTAAATTTTTTAAGTTGTTTTTTAATTAATCAGACTAATTCTATTAAATTTCAAACTTTTGTCACATTTTTGAGAATATTTTCCGTTTTAGTTTATGTTTAACAATCGTAAAACTGTTTTTTTTTGCATAATTTACGGTTTTGATAACGAATAATTGTTGATTAATTACGACTACATAAATATATATATTCTATATATATATATTCTATATATATATATGTATATATATATCTATATATATATATGTATATATATATCTATATATATATACATATATATATATTCTATCTATATATATATACATATATAGGTACTATCTATATATATATATACATATATAGGCAAAGGCCAAAAATTAAAAAAAAATGGGAGGGCTGGCATGTTAGCACGTATCTATGTGAAAAATAATTTTAATATTCGTTATTTTTAGCAAAGGAAACAGTCAGAAGCGCCATTAACAACAAAGTAAGTACTAGACTTATAAGTTTATAATTGAATCAATAATAAGAAAAAAAAATAAAATAAATTTTAGTCGCTAATTTTTGAAAACAATTTTTTTTATTGCATAAATTAGAAAGAATAAACGTTTCATTCACTTTTGATTCATTGATTTATTTATGTATTCTTTTCTTGAATCTGTTTATTATATAATCCATAACATTTTAGTATTTGCGTTACTGACGTACTGAACAAATCTCACGCCACGTCACCTCAATTATGCCTTTCTGGTATTAGTCGTTGATGTATAGGTGACAAAAAATATTTCTAGATTTCTAGCATTACAGCTTAATTTCATTAAAAAAATTGAAAATAGAATAACGTGAAAAATATTTTCGCATATATACATTAAATATATGCATATTTAACAAAGAAAGTTTCAAGGCAATAGTTAATGATTTGTTTTAAAGAGATGATCTGTAAAGTTACGAGACAACACAACAGACACAAATTCTTTGGAACTTGCTGCACAGCATTGAAAATCATTTTTCGTTTGTACGCTGTAAATATTAAAGCAAAACTTG